CTTAAATGGTGCTACTCCCTTTGAAAAATTATTTCATCATTCCCTTGATTACTATTTTATGCGCATATTTGGGTGTGCTTGTTTTCCAAATTTTAATGTCAATTCATCAAACAAATTATCTACTAGATCCACTTTATGTGTATTTTTAGGCTATGCTCCTGAATATAAGGGATACCAGTGTCTTGATCCTCTTACCGGCAAGATTTACATCAACAGAAATGTTTGTTTTCATGAAAATCATTTTCCATATTCTGATTTCATTTCTTCCTTGGAAAAATCAACATTGCCACTTTGTCCTCCGATTAATACTGTTCAGCTTCATGAGATCAGCCCACCATCAGCTTCTCCTTTGCCGCAGCCTTCCCACAGACCTCCTGCCATCCGTCGGTCGATCACCCCACCATCCGACCACCACCACCAGCCAGCCTACACACCCCACCATTTATTCTCCCAGCAGCCTGCATCGACCGCCACACCCACTCTATCGACCCCCGCCTCATCCTCGACCCCATCCAGCCCACCCTCGGTCTCACCGCCACCATCCCCTGTAACACCCCGGCCCCGCAGGACCCGAGGTAGTTACTCCGGACCTCTAGTACTGTCCTCACAAACCACCACGAGCCTTTACCGCGCACTTTATCCTCACTCATGCGCGCCCTGAGAATCTTCCCAGGGGGGTCACCCATCCCACGACTACTCCCGTGCAAGCACGCTTAACTTTGGAGTTCTTAGGTGATGAGTTCCCTTAAAAGGAGATGCACCTCTGTTGGTATGAGTAGTACTATTAATCCATTTAAATTAAATCTCAAGTGTTACAATCACCCCACTTAGGAACGCAACGTCCTCGTTGCGCCACATAAACCAATCTTAAATCTCAATCAAATCCAACAATCCTCCCCCGCTAAGTGCCCGCCCGATATCCAACAGGTTAGCACACTGTCGCAGGGTTGCTCTGATACCAACTGTAACACCCGGCCCCGCAGGACCCGAGGTAGTTACTCTGGACCTCTAGTACTGTCCTCACAAACCACCACGAGCCTTTACCGCGCACTTTGTCCTCACTCATGTGCGCCCTGAGAAACTTCTCAGGGGTCACCCATCCCAAGACTACTCCCGTGTAAGCACGCTTAACTTTGTAGTTCTTAGCTGATGAGCTCCCTTAAAAGGAGATGCACCTCTGTTGGTATGAGTAGTACTATTAATCTATTAAAATTAAATCTCAAGTATTACATCCCCGCCAGCACCTTCTCCTGTCAATTGTCACCTAATGCAAACACGGGCTAAATTGAAGACTTTTAAACCAAAAAATATTTTAACCTCAAGACAGATATTTCGGCATGTGATCCTTCCTGTTTTTCGGTTGCTAATAAAAATCATAAATGGAGTGGTGTTATGGCAGAAGAGTTTAATGCACTTATTGATAATCATACTTGGGATTTGGTTCCATTTAATCCTCATAAAAATGTGGTTGGGTCTAAATGGATTTATAAAACTAAATTTAATTCAGATGGGTCTGTTGAGCGGTATAAGGCACGTCTTGTGGCTCAGGGGTTTACTCAACAAGCAGGTGTAGATTTTTCTGAGACCTTTAGTCTTGTGGTTAAGCCCACTACTGTTCGTATAGTCTTGTCACTTGTTGTTTCGTTTCATTGGAATATTCGACAGTTAGATGTTAAACATGCCTTTTTACATGGTAATCTGACTGAAGAAGTCTATATGAGTTAGCCTCCTGGCTTTATTCATCCTCGATTTCCCCATCATGTATGTCGTCTCCGGAAGGCTATTTATGGTCTTAAACAGGCCCCACGAGCCTGGTTTTACCGGTTCAGTAGTTTTTTGCTCACTCATGGGTCCTCGATTATTTATCTTCTTTTATATGTGGATGATATCATTGTCACCGGTAATTCCCCCTCCTTTATTTCCACATTTATTTCTTGTCTTGGCCGCTGCTTTGCTATGAAGGATTTGGGGGATTTACACTTTTTCCTAGGTGTCCAGGCTGTTCGAGTACCTTCTGGTCTATTTTTGTTGGGGTCTATTTTTGTCCCAACAAAAATATGTGTCTAATCTTCTCACCAGGTTTCACCTTCACACTCTCAAGCCTGTTCGTACTCCTCTACCTACGCGAACTAAACTCTCTCTCTGATGGCGATCTGCTGGCAGATCCTACTGAGTATAGAAGTATGGTAGGCGCTTTACAGTATTTAACCATGACTAGACCTGATATTACATTTGTTGTTCACTTGGTTTCCCAGTTTATGCATGCCGACAGCATGCGCCTCGTACATCACATATTTTGGTTGTGAAGCGTATTTTCAGGTATCTTCAGGGGACCATTGGTCATGGCCTATTGCTTCATCCGAGCACGGCTACTGCTACTATACAGGCATATCCGGATGCTGACTGGGCGGGATGTCCTAATAGTATCAGATCTACTTCTGGCTTTGCTATTTTTCTGGGGCCGAATTTGGTTTCTTGGAAGTCTAAGAAGCAGCCGACTGTCTCTCGATCTTTCACAGAAGCTGAATAAAGGGCCATTGCTTACACTGTTCAAGATACTTTACATATTTGTTCCATATTATTAGAGCTGGGATTTCCTATTCGCGAGCCAGTAAAACTATTATGTGATAATGTTTCTGTCTCTTATTTGTCCACAAATCCTATTCAGCATGCCCGCAGCAAGCATATCAGCATTGACTATCATTTTGTTCGAGAGAGTGTCTCATGGAGATCTATCTGTTCACTATGTTCCTACACAGTTTCAGCTTGCAGATATATTTACTAAGTGCTAATCTCCACAGTGATTTATAGTTCTTAGAGACAATCTGCGCATTGTTTCCCCTGCACGGCTTGAGGTGGTGTAATAGAGTAATTAATACTTTAATTAGGTTTCCATATTTTGTATGTTTTCTAATGTACTCAGAACATCTTTTATTATATATATGACATCTAGGGCTACCACATTAGTAAGCCTCCCAATTATTCTCACAAGATCTTGTTTACTGGCGTACATAGACTCAAAGTATTCCCACATTTCTTTGACGGTATCACAATGAGTAATGATAATATCAATAGAAGGATTCATGGTATTCTGAACTTGATTGAACAGCTTATCATTGGCCGTCATCCATTTCTTTCTTTCATCAGGACTACTTCTTGGAGGAGTCATTTTGGTTAGATGATCTCCCAGATCAAGACTATTAACATATCTAGTAATAGTCCGTTTCCATTGCCCGTAATCTTTAGCACCAGTCAGATTTCTCTTGGCAATTCTAACATTACCAACCGTAATCTCAATCACGCTCTTCTTATCATCACCCATGCTTGCAAACAACTAGGGCAAGAAGGACAACAAGAACAGGGTAAGAGAATCGGTGCAGATAGTGTCCAGAAAATCAAACCTGTGATGACTGTACTGCACGATTCAGATTACCATGCATGTGCCGTGCGAACACCGTCTTGTGCCGCACAAAAGAAGGCTGAATCAAACCAGAGGGAGAGAGCAAAGTCGAACTTCGTGAAATACTACCCGAAGAAACTGTGTGGCTTTGATACCATGTAAACTGAGTAATCGAGATTAAAGATGCAATGAAATCACAATTTATTATCATTGGGTATAGCCAGTATAAATACTATTACGTACAAGCTAGAGTATACAAAAGGAAACTAAATCTGCCAGATTTACATAGAATATTTAGTCTATCGCAGAGAATATATTAGCTACCATCATAGTTGTTACGGCGGGGTTTTGCGGCGCGGCGCCTCTGGGCCGCCACACCGCCATGGCGACATGGCGCCCGTTGTGGCGACATCGCGGCGATAAGTCGACATGAGTAATAATAAATCCATAATATGTTTTATATACTAAATTGCCTACATGTAACACATATAGCCAACCAACACTCTTAATGAAGTTGTAAAACATGTACATAAGAACAACATAATCCATAAGACCATAGTTTCATTGGTACTTTTTTCTGGATCAGCCAAGTTAGGCAGTAAGCAATATTTTTCAAAATTAGTAATCTATTAAATATAAATTAAAAAAAAAAGTGAAAGTCACTAACAATTAAAAATAACTTACTACATGTAATACAACATAGTTGCACAACGTAAATTTCAGCATAAATTCAAGGCACCAATAAAATTATTCAATATAAAAATATAAAAATATAAAAAAAAGAAACTGAAATTTGTTATCATACAATAGAAAGAAAGAATATAAAGCAATTAATACCTACTGGAGCAATGAAAAACGAAATATGAAAAATAGATACCACTACAATAGACAGTAAAGGAAAATTCTGGAGCAAAAAAACAAGTCTAAACCTAAATTAAAAATTGTGCTAAGGGAATTTGCAAAATACTTAAGCAAACAAACACTAATACGCAGACCGCAGTACATAATTGATGCCTGTCCCAAAAATGCGCCGCCCGATTTAAGACTAGATGCACGCCCAACGACCTGGCTGACGAGTCACAACTCAGCGTTTGGGATGGCGATGACGAGTCACAACTCAGCGTTTGGGATGGCAAGGACTTTAGAGTCACCGATTTGCTAGATGGGTTAACTTTTTTTTTCTAATTGGGTTTTGCTTTGGGCCTATTCGTAATTATTGGGTAATGCCTTGCGTCGTTGTCTAGCGTCTATGGCTTCTTTCCGACTCTGTAGCGACGATGCGGCAACGCCTAATGTCTTGTGGCGAGTCGAGCTTCCATGGCGACCTTGCCTGGGCGCCACGACGCCAAGGCGACGACATGGCGACGATGCAGCGACGCCGTAATTACTATGGCTACCATATATATACATAGAGCATATTGACTATTAAATATGTATATTCTAACAAATAATAAAACAGAAAAGTGGAAAACATTTTAGAGATGGAGGTTATGTATAGATAAATACATAAATTCCTACTCCACTGTATGTAGATATTGAAGACATGCTTGGAGATGGGGGGAATAGAAGGGAATACCATTAAAAATGGAAACTAACTCACCTTGTTGGCACTGTCGTAAGAATCAACACCATCCACTAATCCAGAAAAGGAACTGATGAGTCAAAGATAAGTAAGTTCCATGAGAAGATACACAAAAGGGTTAACAAACACATTGTTTAAGTGGGTGCTCACCATCTGTCAACAGAAGGGAGATTTGTTTTATGCCTAGCTAGTGTTTCACCCTTTCTTTGGATACCCTACACATTTTAGTAGTTAGAGTAGAGAATAGGGTTCATTACAAATAAAAAGCAAGAACTGTGGTCAGGGAGACAACCTGAGAGACAATATTATCAGAAGTATTCCCTTTTTCTGATTCGGTAGACTGAGCAATACTGTTGTCAGGGTCATTTTCTTCAAGACAAACTGAATGTTTTCCCCTTTGGCTGAGCTTACACTCTACCATAGCCTGACTAGATGAAATTTCTTTATCTCTGGTCACTTCCCCATCGATTCCCCTATCACTCCTCTTAACTGTGGTAGAGATTGATAACATAGATTCATTTTCCTTCACACTACCGTTTGAGTGGTTCAGAGTTTCACTTATCTCCTTTGGATCTGAATATGGACTATCACAATGCTCACTAATTCGGGTGAGTGGGAGATTGCCTTTCTTGCAAAATTCCAATTCAGGTAACAAGTTTTTAGAGGAATGGGTACGAAATGAATCTGATTGACTCTTCGGGCATGGCTTACCAGTATTTCTAGCTAGCTGAATAAAAGGATAAACAATCAATCCTAGATTGCAGCAACAAACTATTAAGAATCAATAGTGAGAACAAATTTCATACCATTGATATGCTAGTGATATGTTGAAGAATTTTCTTGATGAAGCTTTTATCAAACTTGCATTGCATCGATGAATTACCAACCTCCTGGAAGAGAAGAAAAATAATAATAAAGAAAAGGATTCAAGAAGTACAACATAGCAGGTAAAGTAATAATAAGTTAAACTAACCTGGCATTTGTGACCAGGACTAATTTTGTAGAGTGACGAGGGTAGTAGAACAAGTCCAGAAGGATGAGATGAAGAGAAACTAATGTTACCCAAGGAGCTTAAATAACAAATTCCAATATCAGCCAAAATATGAAGCTTCTGCAATAAGCAAAACTTTTATGCTGTCAAAATTGAGCATGCATTTATGGAGGCAATCATTTTAGAAGACAACACTTACATGAGTCATCTGATCATCAACAGCATCCTCTGCCTTTTTTATTGCATAAAAAAGATTTCTTAGGTATGAAACATCACGAGTGATGGCTACCATGTCCCGACCAGAAATATTAATGTCAACCAATACCAGTAATGTAAGAACAAGTGGCCTGGCTCAAACCCAAGGGTGGTGAAATTAATAATTGGAAAGAGAGGACATTTAAATCAGTCTAATGTATCAAACTACACACATTAATGAGTGCACGCAGTTAAAGAGACAAAAGAACCAAATAGATAGATCTCCAACCTGAAAAACTGTGTGCATATCTCTTCATCTTGACTTTTGATTGGGGGAAAACAAGTGTCATGTGCAAGGGCATGGATCAAGAAAACGACCATGTAAACAGGAGAGTCTGTCACTTCTCTGGGCATTACTGAAGTTTGGTAAGCTCTAGCATCGTTTCTATAGTCCTTAATGAACTCCTCCAGCTTTTTCAGTGACTATAATTTAAAAACCAACTCAGCGCAGTTACGAAATAAAACATAGTCATGTAGATATTCCAGAAAAAGCAAAACCTACAATACAATGCAGATTATCTGCGGATTCTGATACAGCAAATGACAATGCACAAGCATATCTCCATGGTATCATATGCCCCCTCAAAAGCTTTTGTACTTTAATTAGAAAGTGTTCACGTATCCAAGGAGATTGATCCTAAATATGTAAAATACATCACAATTACTATTTTGGATCATTGAATAGAAAACTAAAGTGACACAAAGAAACTCAAAGATAGTAAGAAACCAAGTGCCTTACAACACTTGGAACTCTTAAGTCTCACACAAAAGAGACAGAAACAAATGAATCACCAACTTGATAAAAAATTATATAAAAATTAAGGAGTATTTGAAAGAACAACTGAGCCTCAAAGTAAAATGTCTGCAATTGTCAAAACAATACACACAATATACTAATCATATTCTCCCTCCGTCCCGAAAAGGTTGGCCAAATTTCCTTTTCTGGATGTCCCAAAAAGATTTGCCATTTCCATTTAAAGTAAGGAATATGTGACTAAAGTTAATTCTCTCTCCTCTGCACAAATTTCAACCACACAGTTTTTACTTTATTAATCCACATGAAAGTCAACTTTGGCCAACCTTTTCGGGACGGAGAGAGTAATACTCCCTCCGTCCCCGAAAGAAGTTCCCCATTTGACTTTCACACACTTTTATGCAAGTAAACTTACCAGGGGGTAAATTTTACTGTTTTGACACTGTTTCGACACTATTTGGCACTGTTTGACACTGTTTCGCACTGTTTTGATGTAGATAACTTTCCATTTAAGGAAATGGGAACTTAAATTAGAGACATCCAAATAAGGAAAGTGGAACTTCTTTCGGAGACGGAGGGAGTATTTAACAACTAGGTGACAAAGAATTTGTAGTGTATTGATGAAAAAAATCTCAGAACTACAGTGATGGAAATACAAAGAAAGAGAAGAGCCGATAGAGACAGTTCGAGTTGTCTCGCACTCCCAAGCCTAATTTCAGATCCAATTTCTGCCTCCCCTCTCCCTCTTCTATTCCTTCTATTTATTCTTTTCCCAATGAGGCTTCTCTCAATCTATCTAATTACTTGGCCCAGCCCACTATTACATTTTATTAAAATATTCAGTATTATTTTTATTATTTCTAAGTCTAGGTCTGTATCACAATTATAGCCCTTGATTTAGCATAGTAAACTTTGAGGTTTACACCATTATTATTACTAAAAAGTCATATGGGAAAGATGGACTCTCGCAGCCTATTGTCCTAAAATGCTGATTGTATTTTACATCTTCAAATTCCATTGGAAGTTCAAAACCAAGTTAAAGGAACACCAATATCATGAACCAATCAGCAGCATTATACATCACCTTCACTTCAGTCTTTCATGAGAAGATGAAGCACATAGAACTATAGACACCCTTGCATGCATACACTAAATAAAGTACATATACCCGACAATAATATAACTCACCATATATCATTCAATACCTGACAATCATCACTACCTCCCTAGTTAAATAAATTGAATAAAGAAAATAAAGAAATTCGCGTGGAGAAGGTCATCACTACTCATCATTATCATTACCCCAGTGCCGCAAAGGCTCCCACCTACAGTAGGGTAAGGGGGGTCGGATGTAGGCAGTCTTACCCTTGTACTAAAGCAGGGAGAGACTATTTCCGGATGACCCATGGTGAAAATCGCGTCCAAAATTGTATTGATTGACTGTTGCTTCATAACAAAGAAGCGCAGATAGTTTAGTGAGCCATTTTGATTTATTCCATCATATTCTCAATCCAAAAAATAGTGAATCTTTGGCTCCATTGCAAATGATGGAAAAAGGTCATCACTACTATGTGATAAAATTAAGAATCTGACCGAAACAATTTTCCAGGATCTAATACTCAATTAACAGCATAAACAAAGCTTGAAATTGTACACTAAAGAAAGATAGTAGTTTAACTCATTTGCGGTATACAATAGTTTAGATCATATCCAGACAGGCTAAAGAATAATATAATTGATCTATGAGTTTCTGTTATGAACCAAGAAAGCACGCAAGGTTTGGGTTGGGATTTTTTTGAGACCCGAACTCCCTACGGATTGGTTTTGTTAAGCACCAGAACTCCAAAGACTTTCTTTGGAAGCCTCACCTTGAGAGTTCTGCCAAAGAATACTACGGAGTACAAGAATAGAATCCAAAAGAAAGTCTTACAAAAACACTCAAGTTTTGCTAAGGAATATTACCATCAAATAGTGAGTAAAAGCTGTAAAACTTGTCACAGCAAACTCTAAATACCAATCCCTTTATTTTATTCATAAAATAAAATTGAGTTTGGTTCAAGCTGAAATGCTTTCACAAATTACCTTCATAGAGAGACTAAATTGCAAAACTTGCCTCAGCCAAATGTGAGTAACCAAATTAAGAGAAACGAAAACTTAAGAAATCAATGGTTAAAGATACCTTTTATATGTGATACTATAATTAACATCCGAACGACATCTCTTATGAAAACCATTGCCAAAGTAAAGTCAAAAGCAATCATTTTCATCATGGATTGATCACTGCACTTCATTTACTATCACGACTCATAACTTAAATGCTAGTAAAACTACGAACTAGAAATATTCTATAGGACCACATTATGTTAAAAAGAAGAGTGATGACTGATAAGACTGCTGGCAAGAATATAATAACATTTGTACAGAGTTCCAGAGTTGAATATCTACCTTAGCCATCAAAACTGTAAAGCAGAAAATCTGAGGGGGGATATGCAAATCCCACCTCCACGAAAGCCGAAGAACAGACTTTGCAGCAGCTAATTTAATATAAGCTCTATCAGATTCACTACAGGATGGAAAACTATCAGAACCACTGCAAAATTAGATAAGAATTCACATTTTTTCTCATAAAACAGATCCATAAGATGATCTTAGAATAGTAGACAACTTGCACAAATCACAACACTAGAATACTAGATGATAAGGTATTACCAACAACAAAAATGAAGTAGAATTTATTCAAAAACATATGTTGAGACTTGAGAGGAGGAACATCTTTAAATCTTAGTGAAATGAATATGTGTCATGATTAAATATACAAGGATGTTGAACTAAAACCAACTAACCTTCAAATACAGCTGACTAGTAACATATGCTAACAACAAATACTTAATCTAAAAGTAAAAAAAAAAAAACTATGACTAACTAAACTACAAGGGTCCCCCACAAAATAAGGCTTTGAGGAAAAGTCAGGCCTCGAGACTAATGGTCTTAGTCTTATGAGGTGTAAGATTATTAACTAAAAAAAATTTAGAAATATTAAATAAATAAAAAGAGAAAAGGATAATCCATAATCCATTCTCAAAGTTCAACAGTATTCTTTGAAGTATTGAAGATAAAGACACAAAATACATTAGAAGAAACATGGAAGTTTTTCAGTCTAATACATCACTCCCCCGGCATAAAAATTTGAGACAAAAGGTGAAGAACCCTTTCATTTATTTCTACTACTATTATATATGTGTCCGTGTGCATATACTTTTTTTATGTGTCCGTGTACATATACACTTGTACATAAGAATATGATATTTAATAACACTTTGATTTGAAAACGTTTCTTACCTCGAGACTACACCATGAGGGAAGGTGCCCTTCTGAAGCATATGTTCGATGATATGGAGCAAAAAACCGATAGGGCGAGTGATACGCACGTGCTTATGAGGCAGAAAGCTCCTCACCAGCACTTGAAGACCATAAATCTGCATCAATGAATAATGTCGGTAAGTATTAAACATTTGAACATGCATAGTATGAAGTTTATGAATCGCAAGTACTCTGCAATATACAAAGATTAACACTATCCTTCTAGGACGCCCTCATAGTTTAATGACATTAAAAAGTACTTGTCAATATGATGGTGAATGCAGTGATAACTTGTTGATGAAACGAAGAGGCATCATTAATCTGGGATTTACTTGTTATTATTGTAATTATGAGTCTTTAGTGCTTCAGGTTGTAATTAATAGTTGTTGTCTTTTCAGTTTCTAATCATTTATCTTTAGTATTTAGACAGTCACCACCTAGGGTACTGATTAGACACTCTCAGGCTTCTAACTATATATATATACTCCCTCCGTCCCGTTGGAATGTTCCCGTTCATTATTCATTGGTCAACTTAGGTCACTCCTAATCTTTTACTTTATATATCAAATTTTTATCAAATTGAACTTTTCTTGATCAGGTTTTGTAGCGGTTTTAATGTAGTTTCTGAATATGTAAATTTTATTTACTAAAAATAAGCGGAGTGTGAACAGGGATCGAGTTGCTTTATCGTCAGTCAAGCATCATAAACCGAACGGGAACATTCCAACGGGACGGAGGTAGTATGTTTGTACTTCTTGTAAATGGATTATCGATTAATAATAATATACAGAAAATTTCATGGTATCAGAGCTCGTTCTAGTATCAGCCTCTTGACTGTTAATCACCTCTCCAACAGTCTACTAGGGTGTCTCTACCCGCCTCTCTGTTTAATCTTCTGGTGCGCGTCTCTTCACCAAGGGTTCTATCATGTCTAAAGAAACTGAATCAACCTCAAGTCACCTTGACCACTCAACCATCATTTCAGCTGCTACTGCAGCCGCGTTGCTCTTCGCAACCAGAAATTTGATCTCCCTTCTATCCCGCCATCTTACCGTCTCAATGGCAGGAACTATCTTGGATGGTCAAAGCTTGTTTACACTCTCCTACATGGCAAAGATCTTGAAGATTATCTCACTGTCTCTACACCACAAGAAGGAGATATTGATGCTGCTATTTGGGAGAAAACCAATGCCAACATACGGGTCTGGTTATGGGACTCCATGGATCCCAACATTAGTAGTACATGCTTATACACGGACTCCGCTAGAGAAATCTGGGATTTCATACAGCAGTCCTACTCCATTGCTAAAGATGGCACTTTTGTCTATGACTTATGGCTCCAAACAACAAATCTCTCACAGAATATGCAACTGATCTCCAACGACGATGGTCTGAACTTGACCAATATCAAACAATGAAGTGGCAGATGCAACTCTTCACAAGAACTATATAAATCCGCAACGTCTATATTGCTTCTTATCTGGTTTAAATCCAGAATATGATCAGACTCGGGCTCAAATTCTTGGCATTACTCCTCTGTCTTCCCTATATTCTGCCATTGCAACTATCAAGCATGAAGAGAGTAGACGCAATATAATAATGAATACAAAGCCGATTGACAGTATGGCCCTTGCTGCCTGTAGTTTTATATAATATGAATCTTCACTCTATTGAATTATAATAGATGTACAAAGACCCTATATATATACATGGAGAATCCTCTTCAGAAGGAAACTCTATTCTAAGGAAACTAAATCTCACAGAATATGGAATCTAGATCTGAGAGAATAAGGAAACTAAATCCCTGAGAATATGGAAACAAAATCAAAGATAATTACACATTATTTGACAGAATATCTATCTAAATCTACACTCCCCCTCAAGTTGGGAGTATATATGTCAACTAAACCCAACTTGCTCACAATCCCATCAAAGCTAGGCTTGAATAGTCCTTTGGTGAGGATGTCTGCCACTTGTTGTGAAGTTGGAACATATGGTATGCATAAACTACCATTTTCTATCTTCTCTTTGATGAAGTGTCTATCAACTTCCACATGTTTAGTCCTATCATGTTGTACAGGATTGTTTGCAATGCTGATGGCAACCTTGTTGTCGCAATACAATTTTATAGGACATTCTAGAGGTAGATGGAGTTCCTTTAGTACTCGCTTGAGCCAAATTTCACAAATCCCGTTAGCCATAGCACGAAATTCTGCTTCAGCACTACTGCGAGCCACCACAGTTTGCTTCTTGCTGCGCTAAGTCACTAAATTTCCCCATACAAATGTGCAATATCCACTTGTTGATCTCCTGTCTGTGGTCGAGCCTGCCCAATCTGGATCAGTAAAAATTTCAACAGTTCTTTGAGCACTCTTCTCAAAAAATAATCCCTTTCCTGGAGATCCCTTAAGATATCTGAGAATACGGTATGCTGCATCCAAATGAGCTTGCTTAGGAGAATGCATAAACTGGGAGATGAGGCTAACACCAAAAGCAATATCAGGTCTTTTGTGTGATAAATATATCAGCTTCCCAACCAATCTTTGATACCTCCCCACATCAACTTCATCACCTCCAATATCACAGAGTTTCTCATTTGGATCTATCGGCGTATCAACTGGTTTACAACCAGTCATGTGTGTATCAGAGAGTAAGTCCAGAATATATTTTTGTTGACTTACAACAATTCCCTTCTTCGATCTCGCCACTTCCATTCCCAAGAAATACTTTAGTGGCCCCAAGTCTTTAATCTCAAATGCTCGTACTAGACTTCCCTTCAAATCATTAATTTCTTCAAAATCATCACCTGTGACAATGATATCGTCAACATATACTAGTAAAACAGTAATTTTCCCATTTCCTTTGCGTTTAAAGAATTAGGTGTGATCACTTTGTCCTTGGGAATATCCCTGCTGTTTAACAGAGCTTGTAAATCTTTCGAACCAAGCTCGAGGTGATTGCTTTAAGCCATAGAGGGCCTTCTTTAAGAGACACACTTGAGATCCAAACTCATTTTCAAAACCAGGAGGAACATCCATATAAACCTCCTCTGCAAGCTTCCCATTCAGGAATGCATTTTTTACATCTAATTGATGTAATGGCCAATCTAAGTTCACAGCAACTGATAGTAGGACTCTAACCGTATTGAGCTTCGCCACTGGGGCAAAGGTTTCTGTGTAGTCAATACCATAAGTTTGAGTAAACCCCTTTGCTACCAGTCTCGCTTTATACCTCTCAAGTGTTCCATCAGAGTTGTATTTGACTGTGAACAACCATTTACATCCCACTAATTTTTTCCCATCTGGAAGAGCAACTTTAACCCATGTCTGATTCTTCTTAAGAGCATTCATTTCCTCCAGAACTGCTGCCTTCCACTCAGGAATTTGTAAAGCTCCTTGTATAGATTTTGGGAACTCCACACGATTAAGATGAGAGGTGAAACAAGAAAAAGAAGGAGACAGATTCTGAAGAGACACATAATTAGACATAGGATATTTAATAGTGCATTTTCTCACTCCTTTTCTAAGGGCAACAGGCATATCAACTTCAGAAGGATTGAGATTAGAATCAAGAGTTAATGGAATTGGATCAGGAGAAACTTTACATGTCTGTGTGTTAAGGAAACTAAGGGTAGTAAGGGAGGAAGAGGGTGTGATCATTGCAAGCGGTCTAATCATAATGTGGATACATGGTGGAAACTTTGCCCTCATTTACAGAAAAAAAGAAAGAAATAAAGAAAGAAAAGGCTAAGACGGACGTGGAACTAGTGTTGGGCGTGCTAACTCAGCCACTCCCACTATTGTTGAGAGCTCTACTAATCTTTCGCCCATTTCCCAGGAGGAAATACAACAACTTCGTATGATGTTGTAGTCTCTTAATAACTCAAATGGTTCTAGTCATAGCTCTTTGACCTTGCAAGGTAAAACCTCTACTATTTTTTGTCTCAATGCTTTGGAACAGAGTTCACAATCCGAATGGATATTAGACTCAGGTGCCACATCTCATATGACTGTTGTACCCTCTTTACTCTCTAATTATCGTCCATGTTTTACATCCACACATAGTACTATTGCTGATGGGACACCTATAGAGGTTGCGGGACTTGATACGGTTGTTTTTTCTGATTTAATTTATCAGAAAAACACCCTGTTTAAAATCAGAAAAGTTAAATCCCAAACCTAGCTATGAACCTTGCTTCTATTTACAAACTCACTATTGATCTTAATTGTGCTGTCATTTTCTTCCCTTCCCACTGTTTATTACAGGACCTACGCTCGGGGAGGACGATTGGAATTGCTAAACAAAGAGATGACATGTACTACCTTGATGCACTGGTTGTCCCCAAACCACCACAAAAAGCTCTTACCTCAATCACTCCCAATACCAACACTATTTGCCTTCATCACAGGCGACTTGGTCATCCCTCTTTTTATGTCCTAAAAACCATATTCCCTAGTCTTTTCAATAGTGTTGATGTTTCTACATTTCAATGTGATGTTTGTGAACTAGCTAAACAATCTCATGCATCTTTTTCCAGAAGTAATACTATCAGTTGTTCTCCTTTTCATATTATACATAGTGATGTTTGGGGCCCTGCTCCAATTACTAATATATCTGGTGCCCAGTGGTATGTTACATTTATTGATGACTATACACTTTTTATGTGGATTTTTCTGCTAAAAAACAAGAGTGAGGTGAGTTCCATCATTCCCATCTTTTGCAATATGATTCATAATCAGTTCTCCACTACTATAAATTCTCCATCACTATAAAACGCTTCCGTACTGATACTGCCCTCTAATACTTCAATCAAACTGTTTCCTCTTATTTCCTCTCAAAAGGTATTGTTCACGAGTCCTCGTGTCCATACACACCTCAACAGAATGGTACAGCAGAAAGAAAAAATCGACATCTCCTTGAAGTTAGTCGGGCTTTATTGTTTCAATCAAATATGCCTAAACACTATTGGGGTGAAGCCACACTCACAGCATGTCATCTCATCAATAAACTTCCCAGTTGCGTACTCCAAAATAAGTCACCCCTTGAATCTCTCTGTCACTTCTTTCCTCAAACCAGAATTTCTTTTTATCTTGATCTAAGGGAAGGGTGTTTGGGT